TATCCCAGTTGCAAGTCCATCCTCCACTTGTAAATGTGCCCATTTTTTGTTTCATCCCAGTTGCAAGCTCATTGTTGACTCGCAACTCCACATGTATTTTCACTTTCACCGCAGTTGCAGGTCCACCCTTAACTCGCAACTGGCCCATAGATTGTTTCATCCTAGTTGCAAGTCAACCATCGACTCGCAACTGGGTTCATAGTTTTTTGAGTTGCAAGCCCATCCTTGACTTGCAACTGGAGCCTATGTTTTTATTGTCCCAATTACAAGTCCATCCTTGACTCGCAACTGGGTTGTTTTATTTTTTATCCCAGTTGCAAGTCCGTGCTCGACTCGCAATTGGGCTCGTATTTTCTTGTTGCCCAGTTGCGAGTACACCCTTGACTCGCAAATAGTATCATAGTTTTTGTTTAGTTGTCCTTGTTACAAGTTTTCCCTCACAACTAAGCTTGCAACTAAAACCATAGTTTGTTTTCATCCCCAGTTGCAAGTCATCCCTTGACTCGCAACTCGGCTCGTAGTTTTGTAGTTGTCCCAGTTGCAGGTCCATCTTCGACTCGTAACTAGGCACATAGATTTGTTGTTGTCCTAATTGCAAGTTCACCCTCGACTCGCATCTCCTAGCGTAGTTTTGTGTAGTTGTCCCAGTTACAAGTCCATCCTAGGCTCGCAACCGGTATTGTTGTTTTGTGTAGTTGTCCCAGTTACAAGTCCACTCTTGACTCGTAACTGGGCTATAATCAATTTTTCGTCCAAGTTAAAAGTCCATCATTGACATGCAACTCGGCCATTGACCCTTTTATTTGCCCGAGTTGCAAGTCCATCCTTGACTCGCAACTGGCCCTGACATTTTGTTGACCCAATTTCAAGTCCACCATCAACTCGCAACTAGGCTCGGCCTTTTTTTTGTCTCAATGTACATTATTAAAATTCATGACCTTTTTTTTTAATTCGTGTACATTTATTTTATTCATGAATATTTTTAGAAAATCATGAAAAATTAACAAATCCGTGAACATCATTTTAATTCACCAATACTTATTGAAATAGTGAAAAAATTGGAAGTTAGCAAACATTTTTCAAATTCTTGAACATCTTTTATATTGCGAATATATTTTTCTAGTTTGTGACATTTTTGGAATTGATGAACTTTTTTGAATGGATGAACACTTTTTAAGCTACCACTTTTTTTATTTCAAATTCTTAAAAACAGTCGCAAACTTTTTTCATGTTTTGCGGATCGGGTAAATTGACCTAAAAGACGTCAACCTAGGGACAAGCTGGTGGGCACTTTGCAAAAAAAAAAAAAAAACTGAAGATACGAGCGTTATCAACAATAGGGCTGCTTCTCATTGCATGCGACTTGTACACTATCAATCAAGTCAAGGCCAGCGAGTGAGCCGAGCTAGCTAGCGCTGGCAAGCAGCCCGCATGTGTTCAATCTGACAGCAAACAGAAGCGAAAAAGGCTAAAAAACAAACAAACAACAAAAAAGTCCAGCAAAGAGGATTACAAAACAAATGACATCATACTTAGATGTGAGATATTATCTCACATCTAGATGTAACATGAGGTAATAGCACCTCAGGTACCCTAACTTGTACAGAATGTGACAATTTAGCCCCAAACTTGTAAAACTTGACTTCACCATACCCTAACTTGCACCTCATGTGATGATTTAGTCCCAGGCCAATCACAGCCCGACAATTGGCAGCCAGGTGGCTGGACCGGTCAGCGAACGCACTTTTGCACAAAACCCCCTACCGTTTCTTTTAATCAACCCGCACTCACGTACACCTGAATTAAATCAGTCCCAGCAGGCTAGCTACGTCTACGTGTGCTGCTCGCGCCCCCGGGCTTCTTCGGGAAAAGTCAGGCGATCGCTTTCGAGCTTGCCATGAATGAATATTGCCACCGGTAGCGACGAGTTAATACACCATGAATGAATATTGCCATGAACCACGGTGCCGGACTGCCGGCTAGCTGCCGGAGATGGAGAGATCGATCCAGAAAGCATACGACGTCGTGCAACTCGTGCCCGCGGTTACGGCCCGTGCATGCATGCATGCATCTTTGTTTGCAAACTTACGTGCGGCACGTACGGTTTACATCAGCTGGTTCGTACGTTACTTGCAGGTGTTAACTAGCGTGGAATTAGCAAGAAATTATTAGTGGGGTACGTATCATGGTCTTCTTTCTTTACTCAATCATGCATCTATGCTACTAGGAAGCAAGCAAACCTAGCGATGCACATGCATGCATATGGAAATCGGTGGATGTACTCCTACTATAACGAAACCAACCCAAACAGCTCAGATGGTAGTGCTGTTTTGGACTGTGACAGGAGGGAGAAAAGGAGAGAACTTGTATGTGCAAGCTAGCGACCCACTGTCAATTTAAGATACACCAGCTAGCGGCCCATTTGTAGGAAAATAACTAAACTACAGTACTGTCTGGCGTTTGCTACTGGCACGATCGGATCATATGTCGGAGCAGTGACTAGCATGAACCGTAACTTTCATGGACCTAGCAACACTGTTTCATGGATTGTCCGTTTCACAGGATTCTTCTTTCTGTGGTGCATGTCCCGCTTCGAATTGCAGGTCTCTCCCTGTGCGCAAAGAAACAGAGGTTGCGTCCGTGTTTGTGCTGTTTAATGATGTTCTCATGAGAGCGAGGGCAATCTTAAAGCATCAAGATCGGTACTAGTACTACGACGATTGTGCAAAATCTTCTAGTCTTATATACAAATATCAGTCCTGGCAGTGGCATGAACCACACAGCAATGCAATAGGTGAATGCCCGACCTAATGATTTTGATCCCCCGTTCGGCAAAAGGTTGTGCGTCCCGTTCTTTTAAAGGCTAGCCATCAAATGCTGGGCACCAACCAAGGATATACGAAAGCCACCTTTCATTTGTATCCCCGCTTTGCCAAAGCAAATGTAATCAGCACGAGAGGCACTATCAAGCAAGTATACTACATACCGAGCTAGCCGGTGTGACCCACCTCAGCAACGGTTTCCTGGCTTACTGTTAGTGTATTGTTGTCATCGTCCTCATGTACGGCGGCCTTGTTTGATTAGACAATGCAAAATGTGCAGAAAACTACGGTTGACCGACCTCCTTGCCGGGCTAGTACGAGACAATCCTTATTAACTAACCCAAAGCAACACCCAAATGTGCAAACTCCAAAGCTAGCTAAGCATTTCCCGGACATGCCGGCCGGGACACCCCCAAACCAAACCACACAAACAACTCACCGAGTCACCGCAGCAGTTTACATGGCAGAAAACGGCTAGCCGGTGCCGGTGCCGGTGCGTGTGTCGCGCGACTGGCAGGCATGGAGGATGCAGAATATGTGCATGCAGCGTCTGGCCCTGCACCCTGCACCACCCTGGACCATGCTAAGATCAGCTAGGCGCTTGGACCCGGCCATGCACGCACCCACCTGACAGGGCCTGTGCAAAAGTGAGTGCGGGTTGATTAAAGGAAACGGCAGGGGGTTTTGTGCAAAAGTGTGTGCCCTGACCGGTACGCACACCTGGCTGCCAATTGTCGAGCTGTGATTGGTCTGGGACTAAATCATCACATGAGGTGCAAGTTGAGGTATAGTGAAGTCAAGTTTTGCAAGTTTGGGACTAAGTCATCACATTCTATGCAAGTTAGGGTACCTGGGGTGCTATTACCTCATATAACATAGACGAACCCCATAGATAAATACTGAACCTGGTCCACATCCAAGCACGACGCGTTTCTTTAACCAATCCGGCCACGTCGCCCTTCCCCTCTTCCATTTTCTTCTTCCGCTCCCCTAGAGAGCCGAGCCGGGTCCCGCACACCCTCTGTCCCTGTCCCCGTGCGTGTGTGGATGGATCACGATTCACGGCCTCACGTTAGTACAGGAGGAGGCGACTGGCGACTCGCTGGAAACATATGGCCAGGACGTTTCGGGCGATTTTTGTAGCGCCAACCCGAGCTTGTGGCCAGGAGCCGCCCATTTGCGGCGACCGCGAAAGCGACGTCTATCCAACCTACTTGCCGCTTCCAGAGCCACGCCGCGTGTCGGGCCCCCGCGGCCCGGCGCCGGCGGGGCCCAGCTGACGTGTCATAAAGCGCACGGAAAGATCACCCGGCCCTCCCTTTTCGTTATCCTCTCGCGATTTTTCTACTCCGTCCACCCGCACAGTCACGAGCGCATGTGCCTGTGGTGCCCCAACAAATCTCGTGGCTGGGATATTTTCGCGGGTTTTTCTTAGGATTTTCCGCTGGAGCACAGGAAGGCCGTCGATGGTCTAAAAACGGCAGCGCTGTTTTTTTCTTCCTCTTGTGGCGATAAGAGAGAAGTGAGCGTGTCCATGGCCTGCTTCAGCATGTGGCGAATGATCGGACGGGATTGAGCAGCCCTATGGTTAAGGCGGCCCTGTGATTCTCTCCGGTGCATGCCGACGCTGCGCGAGCGAGCGAGCACACGTTGCATGCAGGCAGGCAGGCAGGCGCCACGAGCCAGGCGGAGAGGAGAGCACGCGTGCGAGGCCAAGTTTTACGGTGGCGCTGATGCCGCCCGCCGTGGGCCGTGGCAAACGGCACATGAGAGCGAGTGAAGCGGAGGAGGAGCCACAGCCACAAGAACGAGCGGCTCAAACCGCAGGGTTTGGGTTATATTTTTGATTTTTTTCCGCGAGGGCGCCGCGGAAATGGAAAAATCCCGTCCGACGTGGCGCGCCCCTCCATGCTCTTTTTCTCCCGTCCCCTCACTCGCCAGCGCGCTGGGCCCTACGTAACGTAACGTAACGTACCCCTCTCTCTTTTATGCGACTCCTCTATCCTCCTCCCCTCTCCTGACTCCTCTCGTCTCTCGCCTCTTCGCTTCCCCTCTCCTGACTGTCCCTCCGTCCTCGCCCTCTATCGACATTCGGCAACGAGCACCTGGTCTGGCCTGGTCTTGTTCTTGGTGTGGCGACGTCGGGCAGTGCGATTACTTTGTTCTCGCTGGCTGGAGATGGCCTGCACGCAGGTAATTCATCCATGCTTCTTCGGGTCTTTTCCCTGGTGTGGTGAGATTGTTCGTGGACGATCGGGGTTAAAATTAAAATGGCGCTGCTCTAGGAAACGGATTACGGATGCTTATTTGGCCCGTGCTTGCAGGAGAACGCCATGGCAACCGACGAAAGCACGGCGGATCATCGCAGGAGTCGTCCGAGTTCCCACGACATGGATTTATCAGGGGATGACCACGTGCCAAAGGTACCGCAGTTTCCTGCGCAAAACCCGCGTGTTTGTGCTTGCAACCGCCCCCCTGAATCGAACGAATTTGTTGCTCGACCAGGCACGCAAGCCGTACACCATCACGAAGCAGCGGGAGAAGTGGACCGAAGAAGAGCACAAGCGCTTCCTGGAGGCCCTGCAGCTGCATGGCCGCGCCTGGCGCCGCATACAAGGTAACGATCGCGCGCCTGTGGAACAAGGCAACCAATTTTGCACGTTCGGTTCGCTCACCCTTTCTCTGTGCGCGCTCTCGCAGAGCACATAGGTACCAAGACGGCGGTGCAAATCCGGAGCCACGCGCAGAAGTTCTTCTCTAAGGTCGGCTCGCCTTCCCTCACCATCTAACCAACTCACTCATCTCTCGCCCATGATTTTTTCTTATCAGCCACGGGTTTTCCTGATGCCGATTCGCCTCGCGCTCTGCAGGTCACCAGAGAGTCGTCCGGGAGCAGCAGCGGCTCGGGCGCCGCGGCCGCCACGGCGACGGCGGCGATCCAGATCCCCCCGCCACGGCCCAAGAGGAAGCCGACGCACCCGTACCCGCGCAAAGCGGACGACGGCGCGGCGGCCGGCGGTAAGCACGCCCCGGGGCTCACGCATCTGGAGAGGCCTCCTGTGCGGATGGGCGAGCAGGAGGAAGGGTCGCCGACGTCGGTGCTGACCGCGTCGCGGGTCGAGGCCTCGGGTGGCCGCTTCTCCAACAACTCCAGCGGCAGCAGGTCGCCGGTTCCGTCGGCCGCTGGCTCCCTCTACGGCTCGTCGGTGGACAGAGGGGACGGCTGCCTCTCGCCTAATACTAAGGTACCGTATTCTTTTCTAAGGCATTTTATATGGCAAAAGCATGCCATCCAATATCCAATAGCAATATAAAAAAGATAATTACTAATGCGCTCTCGCCTGAAATTCCTTAAATTTCAGCCAATCATCTTAGACTTCAGTTTGCCTTGAGATTAAAATGATTGGCCATACTCAATAGATCTAAAGGTGGTGGAAACTAACGGAATAGCAGAAAATTCCAGTTGCATAGATGCTCTCATTAAAAAAATTTAGATTAGATTAAGGGTCTGTTTAGGGCACATCTAGATGTGATGTGTCCTAGATATTGCACATCTAAGTGACTCACTTAAATTAGAAAGAAAAAGAAAAAAAGACAAAAGAAAATGCTTGCACGAATCTTAGCGTAATTTTTTCGAGAGTAGCTTTAGGAGTGGAAGGCAGCATATCAGTTACAAGAAACTACGCTCACTGCAAACAACGAGAGTAGCACAAACACTATATTAGATTAATTATGAAGAAAGAGCCCAAATTCGAGCCGAGTTTGGCTTCACTCAGCAACTCGTATAAGGATGAGTGGTTTAATAAGAGGATAAAGGCTACACACCACATGGGACATAAACAAGTAATACTGAGTTACTGACATCACTTTGAGAAGAAAACAAACTGCAGACATCCTCCCTGTGAATTATTACCTAACATGATCTGTTCATCTGCTATTTTCTGCAGCTATATGATCTGCTTTAACACCTCCGGCACCTTTCAATTCTAACGCATTTCTGAAATGCCAATTTCAGACTTCAGAGATCACTGCAAATGGTAATGTCAAAGAAGGGTCATGTACAGGATCAGCGACATCAGTCCTTAAGCTATTCGGCAAGAAAGTCGTGGTGAATGATTCATTCCAGAAGCCGAATACCAGCACCGGCAACCCGCAGAATGGTGCGGACGTCGGAACTGAAGCTTCAGACGATACAACCACACAAGGAAGCAGAAACCTACCTTCTGGCGGTGCCACAGAAGGAAGCTCATGGAATCCATGGCCGAGCAACATGCAGCAGTTTGTGTATTTTGTTCCTCAACCGGATGGTTTCGCCACACAATCTGCGGTGCCATGGTTCGGCACCCTGCCTGGTGCAATGTTCTACCAGCAAGCCGTGGCTCCAAATCAGCACCAGCGCCATCGCTCAGAGACCGCAGACCACAAGTTCATGCAGAGGGAAGGATCCTGGACAGGATCAAACACTGGCCCAGGATCAGCTGCGCATAATTCAGATGCTGCCGACTCCCGAGGGAGAGGAAACATCAGCGAGAGCGACAAAACGCTTGTGCCGCGGTTAACAAAGTGCGAGAGCTCTGTTTCGATCAGCCTGCAAAGAGGTTTCATGCCATACAAGAGATGCGCGGCCGAGAGCGAATCGCTGCGGTCGGAGGCGCCCAGAGAGGAGACCGATGGTGAGTTGACGAGGCTGTGCTTGTGACAGCTGAGAAGATTCGACGCGCTCTTCACAGTTTAGATGTTTGCTAGTTTTGCTCTAGACTCTTGAGCTGGTGGTGTGATCTGCAGTGGGAAGAAGCGACCGCTCATCCTGCTGGTTTTGCCTGTCGGTATGTCGCACTTCTCCGAAGCAGCTCGAAGCCGCATTAGATTGAGCATTTCTGGTTCTTGCTCGTGAATATATATATAGTTGGAATCTGTAGTATCCATGCTTTTGTTCTCTACAGAGTGTCTGCAGTTTTCCCCCAAATCGGGAGGCTCAGAGTTCAGTGTTGTTGCCTGTATCAACCTGGGCCTGAGAGAGGGTTGTCGTAGTCTTAACTGCATGTTGTAAGCTAGGCAGGCTTGTATCCACTCTGTAGTCTGCATTCTGTAAAACACATGATGGGCAGAAGACGAACAAACGTCGAATGCTCTGTATATCTAAAGTATAACAACATAATATACCTGGACTTGGGTCTGCGCATTCATCTTCTTTGCAGGAAATGTTTTTAGATAAATTGCAAGGTATTTCTACAGCAATCAGCTTGCCAGTTATGACGAGCTACTTGTTTTTGTCTTGTAGAACATTTTTTTTTTGCCTGGAAACTTGTACTGCCTTATGCACAATGTCGTTGCGGCGGCACCAACAGGGCTAGCGCGGCGACAGCAGCGGCTCAGGTGCGGACGCGACGGAGAGGGAGGCGTAGCCGCGGAGCGCTGCCGAAGTGGGGAGGAGTAGGACAACTGAGGCGGGTCACTGGGAGGCGCCCGGACACCTTCAGTGAGAACCCTTGCCATGCCAAAGTCGCCATTTCTACCTGTGCTAGCATACAGCCATACAGGGGAGCTTCAAAACCAGCCGTCCCGGTACGTCTTTGCTCTCGCACTATGTGACTCAGATCAAGAAGGCAACGCCAATGAATCCACACTACAAACTTACATCCGAGTTCTTAATGATCGGATCACTCAAGAGGAGGCATCATATCCATAATCCAACTCAACTCAGACCTACCCTCTGTATATCATATAGGGGTTAACCATGGGGACCTACTCCCGCTCAACTAGTACAAAGCAAGTGCTAATGTTGCAATTTAGTTATGCAAACTGCCTCTCAGGGACCAAATAATGGTGTCTCGATTCCGTTGCTTCCATCATTCCATCTATTGTCATTACTGAACAGTACCGTCTTTCAGTGTATTTACTACTCCCTCGGTTCACAAAAAGATGTTTTGGATATTTCAATATGGACTACATACGGACTGAAATGAGTGAACAAACACACTAAAACGTGTCTGTATACATCCGATTCACAAAAATGTTAGAACATCTTGTATTTGTGAACAGAGGGAGTATTTGGAATCCATTGCCATTTACAATGCCAGTCGGTTGTCACAGCTGGTTACTCTGTCACCTGTTCCGTGCTGCTGTACTTTGCAAACACCTTGCTCTCGTTCGCTTCCCACCATTTCTGTGCTTCCTTCTCCCCAAAGTGCTTCCGGCTGTAGGATTGTTCGAAAGAGCATATTATCACACAAGTAAATTATCTAGGGAATGTGTGTATCAAAGACCTTTTTGGAGTTACCTGAACCGGATGCGCTTGACGCCTTTGTTTCCACCAGGGGATGTGACAACGGTCACATACACCCCGCGCTCGATTTGCTCGATTGTGCCATTGGGATCAACAGGAGGAATGGTGGCATCATTTTCCCCGGCATAGGTATTGCTGTTACTGGGTGCTCTTCTGCTATTTCTATGCATGACTGAGCCTTTCGCCACAGCTGCGCTTGAAGACTGTATACGTTCCCTGTCCACTTGCTGATTGTGATCCCTGATGCTGCTCAGCTGTTGAAATTTGCCGGTGACAGGGTTCTTGTCTGGTGGGTCTGGTAATTCTGCTTTTACTGGTTGTCCATCGTTGATGCGGCTTGGTATAGTTATGGAGTTGTATGATTGCTCACCAGCTAAATCAATCTTCTTTGATAAAGTATTCCTCTGCACAATTTGCGCCAGACAACTTATTTTACGTAAATACTCGCACAGTTTCTGAATAGGTTGGGAACTGACATAGGTCAGAGTTATACCTGATTGGTTAAAACCTTTATAATTTCTTTTGCAGCTTTGCACTTCGCTGCTTCATTCATGATAATCAGCCAGGTTTCCTCGACTTTTCGTTTGTACAACTGAACCTTCAGGCTCCTATGCCGGCATTGTTCTGCTAGGGTGGTCACCTGCTTAGATGAGAACAACATAATTATTAAGATCATTGCTTGTGATTTTAAAATAAAAATAAGTTAATAGTTAGTGAAAATATAATGTGTCATTTAAAAGGAGGACAAAAAAAATCTGGCATTGCAAACAACGTTATACTCTATGAATTACCTGTGCTTGAAGCTGTTTTACTTCTCCTAGTAATATATTCTCTGTCGAATCTAATTCTTCTTTCAAATTAGTAGCTGCTTCTGGCATAGAGCCGGTACCTTTTGGGGGCACTGGTTCAGGCATTCTCTGTGGAAGAGAAACTTCGACTGTCTGTTTATTTGGTATGGAACAGCATGGAATGTTGTTTCGTGCACATTTAAATTGACTGGGGCACTCTACTTGCCCCCATCTCTGTGTTTTCAGTTGAACCGGCACAGCCAAGTCCTGATTTCTCTGATTCGAACCCTGTGACGTTGTCATTTTTTCCATGATAGAATTTGCTTCCTTGAATATGCGTGACAACTTTGGTGTATATGGTCTTATTTCTGTTGGAAATGCCTCCTCCTTCTGGATCGCTGATCGTGAACTTAGTGTGCCATGTCCTTCAATCTTCTGCAGTTGAGTGAAACACATATCACAAACACGGTACCTTTTGCTCCTATCTGGTCCAAGAGCTGCCCTTGAAACCTTGTTACTGCTGCAGGAATTGCAGAACATGGAACCACAGTTGTAGCAGTTGTGCTTCTTCCTTGTAAAGGTAAAAGACAACTGACAACTGCTGCATACAGGTTGATCCTTGCCTGAGATAGACCTGTGTAAACAAACCGCAAGAGTGAAATTGGAACCGCAAGCTATACTGTCCACTTGCTTATCTTCCAAGGACTCCACTAGAGTTGGGGAGCTCCTGTCAGTATAGTCACCTAAACCAAGTTGACCTTCTGTGCCTTTGCCCCAGGTATACACCTTTCCATTCATTGTCAAAACTGCGACATGGGAAGAGCCTGACGATATATCTCTGACAAACTCAGTCTTGAGAGGCCCTTCAACTGAACAAATAGATGTGTCACTCAATCGGCGGTTGCCTAATTGTCCGTGTTCCGTGCTTCCAATGGTGAAAACAACACCTGTTATTGTAAGCACGACTGTCAGTGCCTTCGCACAGGATACCTGAGCAAAATCAGAATCATTGAGTGGCTTGACACAAGTCGGTACAAGCTTGGATTTTTTGTCAGCATGACCCAGCTTTCCTTTATCTGCATCACCCCAAGTGAACAGCTTCCCACTAGGAGCATTGCTCTTGACAGTGCCTAATATTTCCACAATGGCAGCTGTGTGCCATGGCCCACATGCCACAGCCTTGGCTCTCAACCCTTTCAGAGACTCTACTTCTTTGGGCCGAGCCACGCTCATCGTGTCGCCATGTCCAAGAACGCCAAATGTTCCGTCGCCATATGTGAACAGTTGACCAGAGGAGGATATGATAGCCGTGTGCCATTGGCCACATGCGATCTTCAGAACCGATACGCCATCCAAAGGATCAAACAGTTTGTGTGGGAACCATTGGCTTCTTTGACACTGATCATCCCACAGACCCAAGCTGTGAGTCCCTTCACCCCACTCATAAAGTTCTCCTGAAATTGCAAGTGCACAGGTGTGCTTTGCCCCTAATGCAATAGCCTTCATATGGATAGAGGTAAGAGATTCGATAATCGTAGGTTCGGAGACACTGACACTCACTTTGTGTCCCAATATCCCACCACTCTCCTTTCCCCAAGAGAAGACCTCCCCTTGCTTAGTAACTATTGCTGCATGTTTCTCTCCACAGGCAACGTTCTGCACGTCAAGAATCTGGGTTGGCTTCAATAACCTTGGAAGTGAAACATTATCTTTTGGTGCATCTCCATTCTCCAACACACTGCCTGGAACTTCTCCCCAGGCAAAGATGTCCTTCAGAGAATCTATTCCACATGCCATGTGTGATCCTTCAGAAGCTTTCAGTTTAGGCATTTGGGTAATTCCCTCCTGAATTTTTGCAGCCACTGGTATATCCATGAAACTGTTTTTAACTCTATTTACCATTTCAGGAGTAATTCTTTCCAAGTAGAAATCTAGGTCTGACCATGTTCTCTGCCTTGGAGTGACGAATGCTTCTGAGCAATCCAGACTGCTCTTCGATACTTTGTTCTGTATCAACCTAGGACTGCCATACAGTGAGTGTACCTTCACAAATAGATACTTCCATAAGTTATCAATTGAATATAACAATTTAAAAATGCTATCAGATGTATCGGCTTATTTAGTACTCCCTCTGTGATTTAATATAAGACATTTTAGATCACTAAAAATAGTGATGATTCCTCAAAAAAAAACTAAAAATAGTGATCTAAAACATCTTATATTAGTTTACAGAGGGAGTACTCCCTCCGTCCGGAATTACCTGATTCTCAAACGGATGTACGGAGGGAGTAGTTATGAAAAAATATGCAGCTCCACAAAATGTATCATTACCCACTTGACACTACATTAGTCTGGGTGTTACCTAATGATTGTATTATTATTTATATATTTGGAAAATATAATTTATCAAAATGGCCAGAATTGTAACGCTGCTTAACATGTTGGTTATTAATTTCGCAATTTCCTGAGCCGAGCAGTGGGTGGCCGCTGATTAACAGAAAACCAAAAGTTTTACTAAGCGTAATCTAGGAAAGGTCACAAGTCATGGTAAACTCATACTTGAACAAAGTAATCATGTTCTCACATAGAAATCACGACATGCATGGGTTCCAACCTGGGTGAACT